AGGATATTGGTCCACCCTTTGCAGCTATAACAGCTTCAACTGTTGAAGAGCCGAGGTGGCGCAGTGGGTAGAGTGCAGTACTGCAGGCCACTTCAGCTGACTGCTATCTGCAGTTCAGCGGTTCAAATCTCACTGGCTCAAGGTTGACTCAGCCTTCCATCCTTCCAAGGTGGGTGAAATGAGGACCCAGACTATGGGAGCAATATGCTGACTCCGTAAACCGCTTAGGGAGGGCTGAAAGCCCTATGAAGCGGTATATAAGTCTAACTGCTAACTATTCTGTTGTGTTGACTGGTCTGGTGGTTAGGAATAATTTTACTCAGTCAGTGACTGGCCCCTTAATTGGAGATCTTGGACATAGCCAAACGACCATATTAAAGTAATATTCATCAGTTACTGCTCTGGCAGAAAAGTATGTCACGGAATGCACCTGCTCAGATTGATGAATCCTATTCTATCTCAGTAACAAGTGTGGCAATTGATGCTACAATTACAGTTTTAATGTGGGGATAGTTAAATGTGATTGGTGGAGTCCTCCAACCTTGAACCTGAGCCTGTGGTGGCAAAGGAATTAGAATGCAGTACTGCAGGCTAATTCTGCCAACTGCCAACAGTTCGATCCTGACCAACTGAAGGTTGACTCAATGAGGAGCCAGATTGTTGGGAGCAATAGGCTGACTTTGTAAACCGCTTTTATGAGTTGAGTGAGTGTAGGTGAGTGTTTGAGGGAGTACATTTATTCACCTGTCAGATTGTCAGGTAAATGTCAGATGCACAGTCTGTGACCCGTTGGCTAATTTTGAACACAGGTCTAGCACTTTTCTGAAAGAGGGTTAAGTGTGTGTCCATGGATGGAGGCAAAAGGACACTGTATAAAGCAGAGTGGCCATTGATTGTGAGCTACCTGTATGTTCAGCTAGACTTGCAATAGAATTCCAGTGATGGCAGCTAATCCAGTTTTGTTCCCATGGCTGGCCGTACCTGAAAGTAGATGAAGAACAGCCGTAGTATTAGAGCAGAGCAGGCAAAATTGTGCCATTCCAAGGGCCAGGTAATTGAAATAGTAATAAAGACAGCCATTTGAGATCTCTTGTTGGCAGAAGCATGGGGAGAAAAATTGTCATGTGACAAAAGCCATAACAGGCAGTTAGCAAAACTCTACTTTTTTTTTTACATTGTAGATCACTTGAGAGTGTTCGTCCTAATTTTTAAACATAGATCCAGAGCTCCTTTGAAAGAAAGCTCAACTCATTTTTTTTTTTAAAAAAAAAAGGTCTTTCAAAAGCGTGCTAGAGCTTTACTTACTAGGAGTGTACATAAGACCTTGAGAGGAAGCTGGTTAGATTTTTGAAAAGTGCTGGTCAACCATATTTGAGTAACCAAATACCTAGATCAGTG